TACCAACTTTTTAAAATATATTTTTTACAGAGAGGATGAGAGAGAGAGAGCTAGAAACGTCGATGAGAGAGAAACATTGATCAGCTGCCTCTTGCACACCCCCTACCAGGGATGTGCCTGCAACCGAGGAACATGCCCTTGACCCGAATTGAACCTGGGACCCTTCAGTCCACAGACCGACGCTCTACCACTGAGCCAAACCGGTTTCGGCAACATTACCAACTTTTTTAGTAGTTTGCACAGCTTTAATATAAAAATGTTGCATTAGCCCTAGCTGGCTTGGCTCAGGGGGTAGAGCATTGGCCTGCAGACTGAAGGGTCCCGGGTTTGATTCTGGTCAGAGGCACATGCCTGGGTTGTGGACCTGATCCCCAGTAGTAGGGGCGTGCACGAGGCAGCCAATCAATGATTGTCTCTCACCATTGATGTTTCTACAATATCTTTCTCTCCCTTTTTCTTTCTCTCTGAAATCAATAAAAATAAAAATATATTTTAAAAAATAAAAGGTCAATTTTTTTTAAATGTTGCATTAAATAAAGCCACTTTTTAACATTTTATTTACAAATTTGTTTTGTAGGTCAATAACAGCAAATACTTAGAGACATTATGATGTCATAAAATACTTGGAAAAGAAGATAGTAGCGCAAGTGGTTATTAACATGAAATGTTTACTTGGGAAAATTCTTGGCATTTTTGCCCCACATCAGCATAATGAGAGTTTGTATGAGGCCCAGCATTAATGCATCTGTTGAGGATTAATGTCCTTGTAGAGCACTTGTTAGTGAATATATTATGAATAGTATCATAAATATAGTAATTAAAAAGTTGCACACTAAACACTCTGTGGATTGGCATAAACATCCCTTCCGTCCCCTCGATGGCTCGCATTCAAGTGAGTAGTGCATTGTTCATCTTGGCCTCTTAGCATTCTTCATCAAGAACAGAAAGAAGGATGGCTGTCTCAGAGCGTTGTTTCCTTCTCAGGATCTTGCGGATCAGATGGGCAGAAACACTGGTGGTTTTTAGGACCGGGTTATTTTTTAACAGCTCAGAAAAAAATGTCACATAGTACATATAACAACAACAGCAATATCCCACTGTTCCTTTTGAAATTTTTATTATTAGAGTTATTTTCAGACAATACCATAGTGTGCTGAGTAAAATGTATTCAGTGTGATCAGTGGTTCCTCAAAGCTTGTGTGTTATAAAAGAAGTGAAATGATGAATAATATAAATATATATTAGTGCCAAACCATAGACCCGTGAATTTTCAAAGAAGCGAGTCTTCGTTATCTTATTACTATCTATTGCCCAGTGGGTTGGGCCTGAGCAGGTTGCTGTGTGGAAGCAGCATCTGGGAAAAGAGACATCCTGCTGTTAGAGTAATGATGTCCTGTCCTTCACGAAGAAGGATAAGGAGGAGGCAGGCAGATGTAAAGTGGGCAATTTCCATTTCTTTTTCTTTCTTTTTTTCCTTTGGCAATTTCCATTTCTTTGTATGCTCCAAATGTTCGCACCTACCTGTTTCCTCATTTAAGAGGCCTTTTTTTCTTCATAATTTCGTTATTTCTGAATCCTCTTACTTAACACACAATATTTATTTATGAGATCATAAAGATTTTCTTCTGTGCAGAAAGAGGAAAGGAAATTAGTTCACTGTGATCTGCAGCTTGGCTTTGAGTCAGTGAGGGTGGGAAAGGAAGGAACAGAAAGACTATTTCTGTCCTCATTATTTAATTGGTCTCTTTCTTAGTTGGGTGAACTCTTCACGGATGCCTTGGATTACTGATTAATCCCATATACTGTATATTGATTGCTTGTTATATATCCTTGCCCTGGGGATACAAAGATGATGTTAGTAGGCATCAGATGGCTTTGGAACCTTCTCCTGGCAGAATTCAGTGATGATAAGGTGCTTATCTAGAATTCTAAAACGAATGCTGCCCTCTTCCAAATATGGCCTGGAAATGTTCATGCTAACAGGATAGACAAACTGGATCAGCCTCAAAGTTTCGGAGGTCGCAAAGGCTGTCCAGGGAACATAGAATCTACTTTCAAGGCGTTTTCCATTTCGTTAGATTTTTCTAATGAACCTGGCTGCTTTGAATATGATTGAAGTGCTTTCCAATACCTCCACCCACTTCTGAATTTACTGAGACTGGAGTTTGAAGAGTGGGCAGGAAACTGAAGTGGGAAGACAGTGCCACTGTCTTAAGAGGCATCACACTAGGAAATCTCAGGGGCAGGTGCCTCTGCCAGCTCCATTCTCCCCTTCTTGCCTTTATGTTCAAACTAGAGGCCCAGTGCATGAAATTCGTGCATGGGCAGGGTCCCTAGTGGCTGCTGGCTGCCAGCTGCTGGCCGGGGCCTCCCTGACCATGGTTGCCTGCTGCCACTGCCGGTGGGGGTGTGTGTGGGCAGTTGGCTGGCCGGCTGGTCTCCTCTACCTCCTGGTAGAACTTCTGTTGAGGGGACAATTTGCATATTAGGCTTTTATTATATAAGATGTCTGACTTTATTTTCATTAGGTTAGTCATGCTAGGAGGGATCTTCGAATTGAAGCATCTTAAGAAGCTTTATAAGATGGTGGGTAGTGGTTTCATTTAATGAAACTATATGCAAACCTTTGGGAAGATTATCATCCAAAACTTAAGATCATTTTAAGAAGAATGTTCTGAATCTTTTGATGCTATTAAGTTCTACTATGAGTGTGCTTATTTCATAAATACCCCTTTCCACCTTGATATGTACTAGTGGATACAGTATTTATTTTCATTAAAATGGGGTTGAACTACTTTAATTTTGCCAGAAACCAAGATTTTCAAGATCTGTGTTCTCCAAACCATTTACGGGTCAGTTCATTTCAGCAAAGTCTTGCCAGCTATTATTGACAATATTGACATCATTTGGTATATTGGTTCCAACATCTCAGGGCTGTTGCCTCCACACTTCCTATAACCACATTTGTCTTTATTCCTCTAACTCCAAAATCCTAACATCAGAAGGTAGTGGATTCCACTTCCTCTTCAGGGCCAGCCCTTCCCACCTCCTTTGGGATCTTATTCCATCCTGACCTCCTTCCTCTTGTACTCTCAACCTTTCTCTCCCTGCCGATTCCTTCAGCTTCTCAATGTGGACTTCCATCAGCACGTATCTCTCCCAGAAACCATCAGTTCTCCCTCTACTCTTCCGCTGGCTCTGAGATCTCTGCCTCCACCCTTCCACTGAAACCTCCCTCAGTCAAGGTGGCCAGTGACTGCTTGACTGTCAAGTCCAAAGGTATATTTTATAGCTCTCCTCTCTGTTCATCTCATTGTATTCCAATGTACTTCTCTACCTTTCTCCCTTAGTATTCTTCTCAAGACCTTCCTCTGCCCATTCTGTCATTGTTCACGTTCTCCAGGGTTCTGCTTTTAGCTCTGATTCTCCAATCTTCTCCTTCTATCCAAGTTCCTTCAGTGGCATCACCCACTGACATAATTTCTGCTACTTTCTGTGTAGTGATCACTTATATGCCTTTATGTTTTGCTTAGGTTTCTTTTCCAAGCTTCATACTCAAGGACATCTGGGCACCCCTACCTGAATCTTCTACACCTCAATTTCTAATGCCCAAAACTGAACCCCTTATCTTCCAGATTAAACTTGTTCATTCTCCTGCATTCTCTACCTCAGTTGTCACTTCTTTCCACCCCCTTATAGCCATTTTTCCAAGTTGTTTTTGCTTCGGCATCTGGATGTTTCCCCAGTCCTAATTCTTCCCCTCCTTTTCCCTTTCCTACTTACTTCCACTTCTCTACTCCCAACCCTGCCTCTCCCGTCTAACAATTAAACTGGCCTACTTGGTCTCCCCGCCTCCATTCTGCCCCCTCTGGATCCATCCAGACCAGGAAGGCACCTGAAACCCAGTCCTAACCCATCAGTGGGTGTCTGTAACCAGGATAAAGTCAGATTCCTGGTTGTGTGAGTGAGGTTATGACCTGGCTTTAGGCTTCTTTCTTGGCTTCACTCCTCACACGGAATTACACCATGCAGTTTCTTACCTGTTTTTTTCCATTGTCTTGTGCCCCATAACCAGCTTGGCAAAGTCCTGCCCAGCCTGAGGACATGCCAGGCATCTCTTTTTGTTGGAAGCCTTCCCTGACCTCTCCATTTCTGGGCTGGGTGCCCCTGCTTGGCGAGAATCTCAGTCACTGCCCTCATCCCACTGTCCTACCAGGTGCATTGTGTCGCTAGACTTCACTTTCTTTAATGACAGAGCCTGTGTCTTACTCCTCCTTGTAGCTCCAGTGTCTACCACGGTGCTTAGCATATAGGAGGGATGCAACGTGTGGTTTTTAAAGGAAAAATGAATAATGATAGTAAATCAGTTTCATGTTTACAAAAATGGGCAAAAGTAACGGATGCATGAAGGGAGCTCTGGGGTGCCGATACTGTTCTGGGTTTGACCCGGTGTGTTCAGTTCAGGAAAACCCATTGTGCCGTCCACTTGTGGTGTGTGTACTTTCCTGTATCAGTGTTAAGAGTTCAATAAAAAAGTTTTTCTAGCATCAGTTTGACCGCTTATCTGCCCCGTACAGAAAATTTCCCTTTTCCCTTTCAAGCTCTTAGAGTTTTCACAGGATATTAGTTCAGAGGTAACAGCAAAGAACCGGACCACTGCTGTTCCTTTTCGTTAAGGGAGAGCGAGGTGAAAAGGCATAGGTAATGCACGTGGGATTGCCCGGTCCTCCGGAGAGGCCAGCGGGCCAGCCCTGCCGGGTGGACATGCGGTGGCCTGCCCTCCTGTCACCCTTATGGCAGGGCCCACATGCTAATCGTCAGCGAGCTCTGTGCCTGCCTGCAGGGACAGGGAGGCCGCCTCGGATGTGACCATGAATAATTCATAAATGTAGTTATCTGGAAATTTGTGGTCATCATTAGCATTTTAATGAAAAAAATGCAGTCATCATTCTCAATCTCTGTTTTGTTTCTACTTTTTTTTTCCTCCTCCCCCACCACAGCGAACCCTCTCAGTCTTCCCGAGTCCTGGAGACTCCCGAGGCCCCTGCAATGTGCTGACTGGTCGCTATGGGCAGACGGTACCCGGAGGCTCACTGTCATCCAGGCAGCTCATGTATGTATGGGATTTCTCTCCTCTTTCTCCTCTCTCTCTCTCTCTCTCTCTCTCTCTCTCTCTCTCTCTCTCTCTCTCTCTCATTTTCATCGTAGAATATGACAGGGTGCTGAACTGCTAAAGGTTTATATTTAATTGACAGTATTTAGGAATGCAAGAGAGTGAATCGCTCTAGGGTAAATGTTTAATATTGAATGATGAGAAATTAGAATTTTTTTTATAATATATTGGCCCTATAACACCAGGAGTGTATATCAGCAAGCTTTTTTTCTAGTCCTATGGAGGGTTGTGTGTGTGTGTGTGTGTGTGTGTGTGTGTATGTGTGTTTTGTTAGCTTTCTTTTTTCATCACAGTAGATAACATTTGGACCAATAGCAATGCCAAAAATTAAAAACGTGTCTCAGTGACTCTTTGAATTCCTTGAAATAATAATAAAAAAAAAATCATGGATTCAGAAGAGAGGTCCTCTGGGGATGTCATTGTGGAACACGTGTCAGGGAGAGAGGGCCCAACTCTTAATTTGTTAACATTCTCCAAAGAGGAAACTCCCGGCTGCCTCAGTGATGACTTTCAGTGCCTCACAACACGTAGGTTTTTCCGATCGTCAGTGGCTACAATTGTGCCCTTTCCTGTTTGTCACTACCCTGATTCACTTAGGAGAAAAATGATTATTGCCCATCTAATGCTCCTTCTTATTTCTATCAAGGAGACTTTGTCTCAAACATACTTTTTATTCCCTTTAATCTTTCTGCTAGCTGTTTAGGTATTTCTTTGTTTTTGTTGCTTCCCTTTGAATTTCTGGAATTTTAGCTTCAAATCAGGGTTGTGTTTGGGTGTGTAATTCCCCAGAGTGCCTTTGCTTCCATGCCCTGGGCAGTGTTGTGCTTGTCCATATCCACCCTGAAGTCCCTTTTCCTCGTACAGTTCACTTTTTTCTTCATAGGGAAGTTAGAGCCCCCCCTCAGAGCCATACCCAGACAACTGCTTCTGGCATCACCCTAACAGCCAGATCATTGGGAGCAGCAGTGGAGGGAGAACTGACAACAGGGAGAGGATTCAGACCAAGCAACAGGGTCAAAGCCATAGGAGTGGGATAGACAGCTTTTCACCTGTACCTTAGCATCCTCCAAGGCCATGACTGAATTACCGTAAAATGAACAGTTTTCATAGTGAACATCATCACAAAAAGTTCACCCTGTATACTGAGGTCCAGAGGTTGGCCAACTATGGCTCATGGCCAAATTCAGCCAGGCCCATTTTTTTGTAGGAACTAACAATGGCTTCTGTGGTTTTAAATGGTTACATTTCATATCTATTTATATAAAGAGCCAGGGTGGTAAGATCCAAAATGATTGAAGGCTCAACTGAACACCAGGCTGCACACAGCAGGCAAGCGGGCTGAACTGCTGACCTCTCCGAGAGGCAGGGAGGGGAAAGAGGTGAGGCTGATCAGCGGAGGCAGCCAAGCCTCTCTCTCTCCCAGAGGTCAGCAGTTCAGCCCACTTGTCAGCAGCCTGAGGCGGCTGCTGATCAGCCCTGCCTCTGTGATCAGGCCTGAAGATAGGCCCAGAGATGCTGACCGGCATAGAAACCAACCAATCAGAACCAAGTCTGGGTGAATTGTGAGGAGCCAATGGCTGCCTAGGAGGCAGAGCTTTTGACGCTGGCTGGCATAGAAACTGACCAATCAGAACCTAATCTGGGTGAACTTTGAAGGCAGAACCTAAGGTGGGGGCTGAGGAGGGGTTTTAAAGGCAACAGCTGTTTGGTGTAAGGTGTAAGAGAGTGGTTCAATTTTTTAAAGACTGGTTTGGCAGTATAATGCATATAGCTGGCTATCAGTCCATATATAGGGATTATGTGTTTTTGTCTGCCAAGAGCATCTCCTCCTGCTGACAAAAGCCCCCCACCTCATTTAAGCAATCCTATCCTATATAATCTATCTGTACTAATAAAAGGGTAATATGCTAATTAGATCACGTCAGCTGGCCATCTTCCAGATGTCCAACTTCCTTCTAGAACACATGTGTCAAACACAAGGCCCGCGGGCCAAATCCGTCCCGCCAGGCCTTGCAATGTGGCCCGCACCGCGCTGTCATCACTGCACTCCGCTGCGTTTCCATCACAATGACAGTTTATGACTGTTTAGTAAACCATTCGGCCCGCGATTTAGGCTGGATTTTAGATTTTGGCCCCTTCTCTGATTGAGTTCGACACCCCTATTCTAGAACAAAGCCATGATGGTGGAGTCTGAGGCACAGGCAGTTAGGGGTGAGATCAAGCCATCTGGGGAGGGCAATTAGGGGCGATCAGGCAGGCAGGCAGAGGTAGTTAGGGGCAATCAGGTAGGCAAAGAGGTTAGGGGCGATCAGGTAGGCAGGGGGGCAAGATAGGGGAGATCAGGCCAGCAGGCAGAGGGGTTAAGGGTAATCAGGCAGGCAGGCGAGTGTTTAGCAGCTAGTCGTCCCAGATTGTGAGAGGGATGTTCGACTGCTGGCTTAGGCCCCTCCCCGTGGTGGGAATGGCCAGTTTCTGTGACACACACTGACCACCAGGGGGCAGACGCTCATTGCAGGAGCTGCTCCCTCGTGGTCAGGCGCTCCCACAGCGGGAGTGCCGCCCAGCCCATGTAATGTTCCTTCTTATCTCCGTTGTAGAATATGGCAGGGTGCTGAACCGGTGAAGGTTTATGTCTACCTGACAGTATTTAGAAGCATGGCTCTCCAGCCAGTCTTCCTGCCTCCGTGGCAGCACTACTGGGTGGTGGCAGCAGGTGCGGTGGGGCCGGGATGAGCAGCAACGGAGCTGTGCCCAGCCCCAGCTGGGGTTCCTCCAAGCCACCTGCCGCTTTGTCACTGCTACATCCCTCGGGCCGAAACCCGGCAGTCTGACATCCCCAAAGGGATCCCCAAGGGTCCCAGGTTATGAGAGGGCACAGGCCAGGCTGAGGGACCCCACCCAGGCACGAATCCGTGCACCATGCCTCTAGTGCACATGTGTCAAACACAAGGCCCACGGGCCAAATCCGTCCCGCCAGGCCTTGCAATGTGGCCCGCACCGCGCTGTCATCACTGCACTCCGCTGCGTTTCCATCACAATGACAGTTTATGACTGTTCAGTAAACCATTCGGCCCGCAATTTAGGCTGGATTTTAGATTTTGGCCCCTTCTCTGATTGAGTTTGACACCCCTACTCTAGTGGTTATATAAATCCCTACATAATCTGTATTTTGCTTCTGTCCCTAAGAACCTAACGTGTCTACCATCTGTCCTTTAAAAAAAATGTTGTCTGTCCCTGATGTAAATAGAAGAAAGTTGGAAACCAGGTGCTATCATTGAACTCTATGAAGGTGTTATCATTCAGCCTACTAAAATGCTCATTTCATAGGGTTGGATCTAATATATGTCAAGGAAATTGTTCTTTCAAATGGTTAAAATTCCGGCGTTTGTTCTCTTAGGAAGTTAAATTTACTTAGGAATTCACCCATGTAAACGGGCTCCCTTTTCACCGTCCCGGGGAATGATTCCCTGCACACGCTCCCTGCCCCCATGCCCCCCGCTGGGAGTTTTCCAAGGGGCTCCCAGCTGCGAAGGCTTTGCTGTCAGGTAGCTGAAAGGAAGCTCTCCTTTTTACACATATTCCTTTTTACCCAGAGTTCTCTAGGATAAAACTGTCTTCTTATCTTACCTTCCTGGGTGCAGGGACTTGCTGGCATCCTCAGAGGCCTCTGCGGGGCATGTCACGGGTGCTTTCTGCTGGTGGGAAGGAGGGCGAGTGGCTGCCTTTTCTGTGGGGCACACGCTGGTCCCTGGGCCTGCAGTGTGTCTGCGCGACATGCTGCTTGAAACTTCCTTCCCTGCAGCTGGAACGTGGTTCTCACCCTTGTGTGCGTTCCGTCCCTCCATTCCAATATGGTCGATCCCTTAGTCCCGTGGTCGGCAAACTAATTACTAGTAGTCAGCAGAGCCAAATATCAATAGGACAACGATTGAAATTTCTTTTTAGAGCGACAATTTTTAAACGTCAACTTCTTCTGACGCCACTTCTTCAACATAGACTCGCCCAGGCCGTGGTATTTTGTGGAAGAGCCACACTCAAGGGGCCAAAGAGCCGCATGTGGATCGCGAGCCGCAGTTTGCCAACCACGGCCTTAGTCTGATGCGTTAAGACTGCCATTTATTTTATGTGGTTTCTTTTCCGTTCTCACCGCTCCCCGGTGTACCTCCTCCCTTCTCCGGATCAGGAGATGAAATTTGCTTGTGGAAGCCTCCCGCTGACCTCCTTCGGTGGCCACTCTTGGTGGAAACATGAACCTCAGCCGCTCTGTCTCCTGTCATCCAGGACAAGAAATCTAAGGTGACATGGTGCCTCCGGGCCAGGCCTGGGGCTGAACAGGGCCACATTGTTCCCCGGGAAAGGAAACTATTTCGGGGGAAAAATAATTCTCTGGAGTTTATAGTTTTGTTACTAAGTGTGGACAGGAGCTGCTGTGCTCCGAGTTGTTTTTGAGGCTCACATGGCAACTTGGAGTTTCGACTTCCTCTCCTTCTGTTCTGGGATCCCGGCTTTGCCTTTCAAGGACAGGATGCTGCTTTGGGAGCACGGTGCTGTTCTTTCGTGAGTGTGGACTGGCACCCACTGAGCGCCCACAATAAGAAGCTGGGAGCCAGAGCCTGGTCTCCCCTGACTTTCCAGCAGCTGTTCCTGCTTGTGTTCCGACTGGAGTTCATTGGCCCTGGGAATCAATAAGCAGGTGGCATCCTTAATTATTTTTACCTGCACCTCTTGGTTCCTTCGCCCTGACGGCAGCCGCCGCTCGAACACTGGCATCAAGCTCTGGACTGTTGCCAAAACCGGCTTGGCTCAGTGGATAGAGCTTCAGTCTGCGGACTGAAAGGTCCCAGATTTGATTCGGTCAGGGGCATGTACCTTGGTTGCGGGCACATCCCCAGTGGGGGGTGTGCAGGAAGCAGCTGATCGATGTTTCTAACTCTCTAGCC